ACTCTCTGTGGGAGCGTATCGGCCGGTGGGAGGTAATCTGTGGCAGAAGGCGGTCTCGGAGGTAACCAGGTCCGATGCCATGGCGCGCTTTAAAGGTGATAATCAGCACCTTGAAGCGCACTCGGAAGACCACAGGCAGCCAGTGCAGCTCGCGCAGCAGCGGCGTTACATGGGAGCGACGAGTCGCTCCCATCACCTTGCTTTCCTTATTATGTTTTCAATAAATCTAAGACAACTTTTTCATGTTAGATGTAAATTATTGGTGATTTTTTTTAATTGTTTTCCTTTCAGGCAAATACAATATATCTTAGGAACTGAGGAAACTTAGGCAGGGCAATTTGCAACACTGGTGATAGGAATCTGTTATTTGTCAAGTTTCTGAATTTCTAGTGTAGTGCCACCCCTGAAAGGACTGCTGAAGTCCGGGTTCTCCTGGCCTTCTTGGTCTGGCTGCCGGTTCAAGGAGTCCCTTACTTGGGCACCTCTGCTTGACAGAGACACAAGGTGCGGTGGTACTCAGTCTCTGTTGGCAGCAACTCACGTGAGGTAATGATGATCAGTCTCTCAGCAGGCAGCTCATGTGAGGTGATGGCGGTCAGTCTCTCTCAGCAAGCAGCTTACATGAGGTGATGATGGTCAGTCTCTGTCAGCAGCAGCTCATGTGAGATAGTGATGGTCAGTCTCTCGCAGACAGTTCACGTGAGGTGATGGTGGTCAGTCTCTCAGTAGGCAGCTCACGTGAGATGATGGTGGTCAGTCTCTGTCAATAGGCAGCTCACATCTCTGGCAGCAGCAGCTCACGTGAGATAATGGTGGTCAGTCTCTCGCAGGCAGCTCACATGAGGTGATGATGGTCAGTCTCTCTCAGCAGCTCACAGGAACCTCCCTTATTCTATCTCCTCTTCTCTTTCTGGCCTTTCCCCACTGAAACCTCTCCTTCTCTATTCCCCCCTCTCTGTCAGGCTTGCCCCACAGAAACCTTTCTCTTGCCTCTTCTCTCTCCATCTGGCTTGCCCCACAGAAGCCTCTCTCTTTTCTCTTTCCTCTCCATCCAGCTTGCCCCACCAAAAAGAATAAAGCCCAGCCAACCTCCTCCCTTACTCTCCCTCTGTCCAGCTTGCCCCACCCAAAAAGAATAAAAACTCCATCAACCTCCTACCTCGCTCTCCCTCCGTCCAGCTTGCCCCACTGAAAAAGAATAAAATCAACCCAGCCAACCTCCTCCCTCATTCTCCCCCCGTCCAGCTTGCCCCACCGAAAAATCCCGATCCCCCAGCCAACCTCCTCTTCCTTTTTAATCCCTCCCCGCTCTTCTCCCCGCCTCTTCCCTTTTACTTCCGGGCGGCATCCCATTGCCAGCCGCAGCGGAGGCCGCTGGAGCTCCAGACCTCCATGCTGAATCGGCAGAGCTCCAGCAGATCCCCCCAGCCAATGCCGACCCTGCCCCAGCTCCTCTTTCCGCTACACTAGGTTGCATCTTCAGTTTGAGAATCTGGCTTAAATATAAATCTTATAGCAATAGCACTTAGACTTATATACCACTTCACAGTACTTTACAGCCCTCTCTAAGCAGTTTACAGAGTCAGCATGTTGCCCCCAACAATCTGGGTTCTCATTTTACCAATCTCGGAAGGATGGAAGGCTGAGTCAACCTTGAGCTGGTGGGACTCGAACTGCCAAACTGCTGGTAGTCAGGAGTCAACAGAAATAGCCTGCAGTATTGCATTCTAACCACTAACCAGAGCTCTTATAAATGATGATGCTTGATTACACTGTATTCATAATTCATGTATTTTTCTGTTTGCTTTTTTTTCAGACTGTGCTACCAGTTGATGAAAGTTTGACAGAGTCCTTAGGAATCCGATCCAAATATGCTTCCTTACGAAAAGATGCACTATTAAAATCTGGTAAATAGCTTCTTAAATGGATGAGTATTCTTTATCTTAATTTAGCTTTTTCCAGTCCATCCTCATGCCTGTTCTTCCAGATATTATTTCAGTGTTTATGTACTCAGATTGACCAGACAAAGGATTTTGCAATTTGGCTTTGTGGAGAGAAGAGAATCAGTGAATATTAACATCATCAATGTTAAGGGGATTGATCAGAGCTGACTTGGTGGAACAGAGTGAATAAATACTGAAGAGGAAAAGCTCCAAGCTGCATTATTTTTATGATTTTCAAATCTTTAAAGGTGTGCTACACCACAAATTTAACTATATAAAAGCATTTGGATATGTCTACGTCTGCATTATGATCATTCAGTTCATCTACATGCAGAAATGATTAAAATCATTGTTTGCATGCAGACTTCTATTCTAAGTAATAATATTTTTCCAGGATTTCACTGAAATCTCTTAGATTAAAAGGTGGGAGGGGAGGGAGACAGCAGAGTTCATTTCACCAGAAGTTGTTGGCCTAGATTGCAATCCAGATGAAAATACTCATTGATCTACTATACATCTGTCGATGCTTAAGAGATCTCTGGGTTTTTTCGATTGGCTGCAAGCTTTGTGCTATTTTGAATCTAAGAAGTGCCCTCATCTTTAGGAGGCCATGAGGGTGCAAAAGAAGTTGCGAGCTGAAGGAAACTGATCAGAAGCCTCTAATATGCTTAAAGCTTAGCATCACTGATGTTTCTGTCTTAAATATTATGTAATTAAAAAGGCATTTACATATTGTGAATGCACATGAGTCTGTGTTCTCTTTACATAGTAACAACTATCTCCAGCATAGGTGTTGATTTTAGTTGTCCAACCTTCCTGTTACTTTCTGTTATGTCTTCCTTTTAACTTGAAACATACTGGGCCTCTGGTATCAAAGGCTGGTGCATGGATGGCAGAGTGAATAGAACTGTTCTTCAAACAATGAGTGTTCATAAGTCTACCTTTTGTCTCATCACTAAATGCATTATGCTAACTGAAAAACTGGGAAGACCTAAATATTGCAGTCTAAATATTCATTTGTATGGTCATACAGTACTTAACAATCTTTTCAATATCAACTTGTGTGCATATTGTATCAAAACTCAACTTTCCCTTTCTGCTTTTTGTTGATAGGAATGTACCTTATTAGCTGTGTTTTTAATATGCTTGGAAGTGCTAAGTAGGTTTTAGCATTTCAAGGTTAATAGGGTTTCTAGCCTCTCTAAGCAGTTTGTTAAATTAATGTGTTAGGGGAATGGAGTTTGCATGGCCTAATTGCAATGAAGTACTTACTTACGTGTTTTAATATTTTAGTGTTTGGAGGTGCCATTTGTCGGATGTATCGTTTTCCTACCACTGATGGCAACCATCTGAGGATTTTGGAGCAAATGGGAGAGAGTGTGCTCTCTTTACAGATTCCCAGGCAATTTGTGAAATTGCTGCTAGAGGAAGATGCTGCAAGGTAAAAATCATTGCAATAAAGTTTTAACTGTTAGTGCTAATGAGTAAATACAATATTAAGGCAAACAATTCAGCTTTGTACAATGCCTACAGTGATTAGCTGACACCTTTTATTTCTTTTCCTGATTGTGTCTATAAATATTTAACCATGCCTGTAAGTAATTGGTACGCTGGAAAATAATGTAGCACAATACCTGTTTATTCTATACTGTTACAGGATAGAAAAGGCAATGATAGCTCTGGTTTATGACATTTGACGGAACGTTGTTGGGAGTAGTATTGGATCTTTTAATGGTGTTTAATACCATTGATACCATTGACCTTGGTATCCTTTGGATTGTTTTCAGAGTTGTAAACTGGGTGTGATTGTTTTGTTCCTACCTCAGTGGTGACTAACAATCCATAGTCATGGGAATCACTTTTTGAGCCCTTGCAAACTGAAGTGTTGAGAATTTTAGTGTTCTTATTTCTCCACGTTAATTAATATATACATGAGACTGACTGGAGAAATCATGTTATGATTCAGAGATCAGAGTTATGATTTAGGTCATCAGTATGGAGCTGATACCCAGTTTTATATTACCCATCAAGCTGAGCCAAAGATGTTGTAAAACTGGTACCCGAGGTTGGTGAGGATGTGGATGGGAAAAACAAGACTGGATTAAATCTCACCAGGGTCATGTGATTTATATTTGGATGCTTGGCAACTGATTCATATTTATGATGGTCACAGTGTCCCAGGGTCATGTGATCCCCTTTTGCAACCTTTTGTCAAGCAAAGTCAGTGGCAGGGCTGCTGGTGGCCAAGTGCTAAGGCGGGACTTCCTTCCCTCCCTCCCTCCTTCCCTGCCTCTCTCTTTCTCATTCCCATCTCCTTTTGAAGGAAGAATCTGAAACACCCCCCCATATTTTTCCTCTTCCATATATTTATCAAACAAGGAAAAGCCTCCAGAGACAGAAAAGACAAGCCGCTGAGTGAATTAGCTTTAAAAAGCGCATTCCCCTTTAAGAATTAGTTACTGGCTAGAAAGAAAAGTTAAGGAGCTGGCAGCCAGCACATAAGGAAGAAAAAAAATGTAGTAAGTACTGGCTGCCTTAGCTCCATTCATAAGTAAAGGAATGCTACAGACAAAATCCATTCAGGAGAAAAATACTTTAAAATCTCTTGCAGCAAAACTTACAGCTAACAATAGCAGAGCAATAGAATCTAACATGAGACATCAGCCATCAGCCAAGTAGAAATTGCCAAACACTCCTTAAGAACCCAAAGCCCACATTGCACAAATCCCAGAACTTCAAAGTCTCAAAAGACATAAAAATCCTTCCACTCTCCCAGTTTGTTGTTCAGCTGAAATGGCACTTTGCTTCTGCCATTAAACGTCTCCTCTTTCTCATTGCCATCTCCCTCCCTACCTCTGTGCTCACCTCCAGCTGATGCTGCCTTTCTTCATTCCTCATGAAGGGTGACCCCTCCCCCACTGTGTTTCTTGCCTGTTTGTTGCTGCCAGCACAGATGGCTGCCACAGAAGTTGTAGATCGGCTCATGGCCGGCCTGCTTGATCTCCTCTCCTCTCTCCCCCACCCTCCTCCTTTCTCCTTCTACAGCTGACTCCACCTCCTCCCAAGGCTGCTTCTTTTTCTCTCACTCCCTCTCCCACCCAAACTGCCTCCTTTTATAGCCTCTCCTGTCTCTGCCCCCTCCTCCTTTCTCTTCTGGGTTAGCCGGAAGTGAGCCTGCGGCCTTTGCCTCGCCCCAGCCACACTGCAGCTCCGGAGGACTCTCTCACAGTAAGTCCTGCGCTGCACTGGCTCGTTCCCTCCCCCACTACACTTGGTTGGGCAGGGCTGCGTACCACCTGCCACGTGCTAATGTACCACAGGTACACCAGTTGAAAAGCCCTGTTGTAGAGGACAATTTGCCCTCCATTTACTTACATACTTACTGAAAAACAAGAAAGTCCAGTTGCCTCTTGAAAAACCACCTTTGGGACAACCATGACCTGGATGACTTAGAATCTCCGTAGATATTTGATAGAAGTGTTTTTTAAAAAGCGAACAGAATACTGTGTAATTAGGATATAAGAATTATAGAGACTTTAATAGTGAATCTATTATACTAGTAGAATACAAAGGATGGGGAAAATCCATTTGATTTTCATTTTTATATGAAGCTGCCCTGTCTGAGCTTTTCAAACCTGTATTTGACACTTGTGTATCGAAATCTTTTTTTTTTCCAGAATTTTGCAATATGGTGCAAAAGAGATACGTGAGATGGCAGACATATAAACATGATAAATAAATAAGCAAAAGTACAAGCAGAAACCATGTATTGCATTTTTGTGTAACCTTTTTTCTATTAAATAGTTGTGATGTTACTATGTATGTTATTATCTAAGCCTCTATTATTTGTATTTACATTGGAATTCACACTCTGGCAGAAAAAGCAACATTTACAAAAAAACTTACAAAATTACCAACACATTTAAACACATTTATAAAAACATTATTTGGCTTGTGAGCATAAGTTTGGAAATGTGAGAACATAATTTGAAAATCCTATAAATGCTTTTAGGCCTAATTCTACTTCACATATTTAGAAAAAAAGCTATGTATTACATCTCCTTAATGAAGGTAGAGATATTGACAGTTCTTCTGAAGGTTTTATTGCATTTCTGCTATTCAGTGTTTACAAATGGAGATAACCAGTTTTCAGATGTTAGAGGGAATCCCCCATCCTTATACAAAAAATGAAAATAAGGCAGAAGCATCTTCTCCCATCATTGTATTTCCACATTTAGAAAATTTTGCTTGACTAAATTCTGTTCTAAAGCTGTTATTGGCATGGAAACTTGTCAGATGCACTTGATATCCATCAGTTCCACTTAATAGTGGAAAATGGAATAATTAAACAGTTAAGGATATGAACGTGGTTAATATTTGACCTTTCTCCATGTAAGGACAAAGTAATTTATGAAAAATATTTATAAGAATAATGGCGCTTTAACATATGCTTCAAAAAAGCTCAAAATGTATTCTAATTAAAATAAAATGTTTAAATAGTTCATGGTTAGGCTTGAATAGATAGTTTTAAAAGGCGACGAAGATATATTGTTTTTCATTTAGTATACAGCTGATGTAATAGTATTTCATTGTCTTTGGATGTTTTGGTAGGATTTGTGAACTTGAAGAACTGGGAGAGTTGTCCCCTTGCTGGGAAAGTCTTCGTCGGCAAATAGTCACTCAGTACCAAACAATTATTCTGACCTATCAGGACAACCTGACAAATCTTCATCTGTATAAAGGTAGATACTTCAGACCTATTTTATAATGGTTTTGAAATCACCAGCTGTAGATATTGTCGCCTTTTCGTTAGAAGATTGCTGTTTAAATGTACTCTTCATATAGACACAATTGCATACATTCATAGTAACTTTTCTGTTTGCTTATATCTGTTTCACCAGGATGGGTATAGGAGGGAATGTGGAATCTTGTTTACTATCCATACCATACATACTAGCTTTCTTTGTCCAGGAAGTTTGGAAGTGGATATAGAAGAAGAATTCTATAAATATAGGGGCAGTTTATGCATTCAGTATGAATAAAAGGCAATAGAAGCACAAAGTAAAATAGTAATGGATCTAGTTGCTACAAAAAAAAAATCACTAAAACATTTTGAAATGCCATTAAAAGCAAAAGAACAGCAGATATCTTTATGTCAAAAATAAATCAGAAATGAGTCTGTATATACACTAAGGTGGAGGAAGAACAGAAAGAGTGCTATGAATCATACTGGGATTTGTAGCTTACAAATAAATGAACATTTTTTTTAAATAAATGAACAATTTGTCTTACTTTTTTAAATTGCATTTTCTTATTTGGGTTTTTGCATGGAATTCTAATCTTTAAACAACAATACCTTTCTGCTAAATTAGATAGAGCAGGAACAGCTACATGAATATCTTTACAATATTGGACTTCTTCAATTTTACTTAAGAAAAAAGGAATACAAGTAAGGGATGCTGAACATTATAATAAAGTCTACTACTTTTCATTCTACTGGCAGTTTTTAAACACACTTTGCCCATTAAAGCCACTTCCAGTATTGGAGCGCAGTTGAAGAAGAAATGGTTGGACAAAATACTGTAACTGTGAGGAGTGATTTGGACTTGCCATTAATGTGGCTCTTTTGCCATTGCAAATAAAAGTCCAGATTTTAAAAAGTCAGGTTTGTATATACTGGGACAATGTTTTTTGGCATCTGGCCTCTGTATACCACCACACTGAATTTGAAATGAAACACTCAAGACGTGAGTGCAGTGAAGACTTTCAGCTTTAATTCAAGGACTTTGACAAAAATGTTTTTATTGGTAATTTCTCATCTAGGCAAGGCTTATTTTAAAGTCTTCTGATTGAACACAAAATACTGGAATGGGGCTGAATATTCCCAAACCTCCATCATTGCCCCAATAAAGACCCGAGTCTATGTTGTTCTTCACATTTAGCCATTAATTATACAAAGTGATGGATGTCAGGTCTGATTTGTCATTTAATTGGTGATTCTGAAGATATTTTCAAATTTTATTTATTTATTTGAGTTTGTTAGCTATCTACCTCAATAGGATAGGGGGACATGCATCATATGACTTAAAACAATTTAAAATAATTAAAAGAATACAAAATAAATATATATGGCACCAAGTAAAACTATTACTATGGAGCCTAATGCAGCCAGAACCCTACCATACTCGGGGCCCTAGATCCCGGGCTTACAACCAAATATTCATGACCTTACAAAAGCCAAGAGGGTTGGGGTCATCCTCCTATCTGAAGGGAGAATATTCCAGGGGCAGGGGCTATGGCAGAGAAGGCACATCTCCAAATTGATAGCTTTTGCCAGGTTGATGAAAACATTTGTCCTAAAATAAAGGGAAAGCAGCAATAACAAAGGAAAATCAAGAGATGGAAAGGCTTTGCAGAATGAAGCTTAAAAGCAACACATCAAGGATGGATGAGTATTGTGGCAAAGAAATGCTTTGTTTGCATAAGCTTTATTCCTGTAAAATCCCAGAGCCAACATTTTATAATGTTAACATTTCCAAATAAATGACAATAAAATGTATGCCCTGTTAGAAGGATTCACAGCAAAAAAGCATTATCTTTTTTTGTATGTCCTTTATTAGTCAGCATTCAAAACTTTTCACATTGCTTTTAAAGGACTAAGTTGAAAGTATGAAATTTGGCAAATCTTTCCATTTATCTTCTAAATATTTAAGCCTTTAAAATGTAGCATTGCTATTATGTCTGAATATTTTTTGAAAAAGTCTTAAAGTATTCTAAAATTATCTTCATGCTTTTACCATCAATTTTACAAAAATATTCTGCATGTCTGTAGTCCAAAATGCTCTATAGATAGCACTAAAACAGTATCTTAATGGTATATTTTCTCTATTTGCTTTCTTGAACATATCAGTTACATTTATTTTTCCGTCAAAAAGGTATATTGGAAATTCTTAGATAATTGTTTAATCCGAAAAGAACCATAGGCCATATTTCTATTGTATTTCAAGTTTGGAAATATCAGAGAATGAACTATGACTGCAATGAACAATTCAGTGAATACAAGCACAATCACTAGCACTGATGATATTACCTAGTTTGGGTAATGAAACAAACAACCAAGCTCAGAAACCACCAAAGACTCCATAATTCAACCTTCTTTTCTATTGGAAACATAATTATGTAATTTGAGAGACTGTAATGGTGGTTATTAGCTACAACATCCTGAAGCAAGTCTACCTTCTTTTAAACAAAAAATAGTTTTGAACAAGTACCACCGGAACAGTTTCCCATGGGGATTGGAATTGGAAGCATGACTATTCATTCTGACTTGTGATTAAATAAAGGAATTACAATTGCTGATCTATTTATCATTTTATTATTGTTCTTTATGGTCACTTTTCTGTTCAATAATTATATTTCTGGGAAGTGAATATACAAAAATTGATGTTTTTCTATTCATTTCTCCAGGACCATCATTCAAAGCAAGTAGTCTGAAGGGTGATAAAAAGCTTGAATTCATGCCTACAAATTTACACATACAGCGAATGAGAGTTCAGGATGATGCAGGATCAGGTATTGTTATGCTTCTTAATACATTTTAAACATATTAGCAAGCTCAGTTCTCCACGTGTGAATCTTTATTTTTCATTAGCAGCATGCTACATACAAGTTTCAGAAGAAGAAAAGTCTTTAGAGCCTAATGAAAATTAAGCCTATTTGGTATATTTCTGAAATTGAAGGATCAAGAAATGGAATATGTGCTTGACCGGCTAAATCCCTAAGTATGCTTTGTGCTGTGGCAGAGGCCACTTGTTGTTTCTTTTTTTTAAGAAAACATATTTTTTCTGGTCTTATTCTTCTTTTGCTCATGCAAGTTAGGTGGCCTTTGTTCTTGATTCTCTTGGTAGTAGGGTAAAGAAAATGAGAGAGTTGGAAAAGGTTTTATATTTTGTTTAGAGGTTTGAAGCATATTGGATATTTGCTGGTTAGAACAAGTGGCTTGTGCTGTAAACTGATGAATGAAGAAGGTTGCGAACTTTTAACCACCAAGGAATGGACACCTGTACTTGGTAGGAAACCTTGGGATTTTAATTGAGAGGCATTGATACTACTTGGCATTTTCCTCAGCAGTGATACTAACTGTGGCTTTCTGTGGCCTTTGCCATTTACAAATTATATTATTCTGCTTTTCATTGGAGGGAAATGGAATATCCCAGAAAAATCTAAATTGTCTTCTTATTCAAGTGATAAGAATCCCTGGATTAAACTGCACTATTTTAACACATCTTTTTACAGTATAACAAAATTGAAATTTTTGCCAGGGTAGGCCTCTAAAAATTGTGAGTATTTTCCAATGGAAGAAAATGACCATCTTTGCAAAGAAATGTTCATGTGTAGCTATCTTCTCCATTGAGCACCTTACAGAGAAGTACAGGCAATTTAGAATGTCTATCCTTAGCTGTTGACTTTCTTCATGAAATAATATAAATTTCTCTTACGTAATTCTCAGACCAAATGAAGAATGTTCTAATGGTTACATTCTTGGCAGGTATTGTTGAACACAGGGAGACTGTCCGCATAACTAGGCATCTACTCAGTAATCAGTTCTCACATCTTATGGATGTGTGTTTCCAGTGATATCCTGTGGCCTATAACAAAAATACAAGAAATGGCATTGCTGTTTAATAGAAAGGAAAGTCTTACAGTTCATATATTGTTGGATCCTGATATAATTGATATAAGGAATTTCCTGTGCTAGAAATAACTGATGCAGGAATGTCACTTTGTACTAGATTTAAAGATAACTTAATGCAATTCTCAGAATTTCTAAAGAATTTATAAGCTTTATAGAGAGTGTTGTTGGTTCTTTAAAATATGGTTGTTGGTTTCTTTGCATATTTGCATTCTAAGACAAGATGACAGGAATTCTCACTGCATCTTTTTCCCTGTCATTTGTAATGTTTAGATGAGAATTATGACATTGTAACTATAGGAGCACCAGCAGCTCACTGCCAGGGCTTTAAATCTGGAGGTCTGCGGAAAAAGCTGCATAAATTTGAAGATGCAAAAAGACAGTAAGTGGCATGTTGAAAGCACACCCTTTTTGTGACTCTAGTTTTGTAAAAAATACAATGCCATTCCTTCTTTTCTCTTTTATCCACACATAGAAAGTTTCAACCAAATTAGCAATTAGAGATGCCTTATGTGAAGAATTTAGAAGAATGATTTCCCTTTTTAAATCAATGTATTTCAGCTTTCAGTAGATTTTTCTGTTTAATCACATATAACAACTTATGAACCATGCATTGGTGCTTGGTAGGGTTAGGGACTTCCCTTGAAATTTTGTGCAAGACTCTTTGATCTGAGTTGCTAAATTTTGAAAAAGTACTTCCTTCCATGTCCCTCTGTGTTCCTGGTTCTGTTGTTTTACCACCACCACCCTATTTGAAGATCTTTTGGGATACTACCTCCAGAGGAGGAAGCACGTTGGTGACCTTGTCTGAATTTAGAAATAAGGAGGATTGGCTTTTTAGTACTTGAATGAGAGACTGGCCAGACAGAACCAGACTGTAGGCTAGACCAGGAATTTTTCTTTTAAGAGAAACATTTTTGAAGAAGGCAAAGTTAAATAGTTTCTTCTGTGTGCCTTCAAATAAACTATTATTCAAGAGCAGACCGAACCTTCTCTTCCTTTACTTTTCTCCTTTTTTGCTATTGAGATGAATGATTCCATGTTTATTTATTTTATTTTTGCAATTTTGAGGCCTGATGATTCTGAACGGCTTACAATTAAAAAAGAAAGAAAAACATACAAAAAAACCACAGGTTCATGTTACCATGTGCAAGCTGTTGTTTGCATGGTTCTAATCCTGTGAGCTGCTCCCAATAGAAACTATAGTATAAAACTGAAATGGTGTATGCCCATAAGAAAAGAGAGGAAGGAAAGTCTAAAACACCTGTAGTCAGGTGTTATGAGATGTATAAAGCATTCCCATATGATGTTATTCAGAGATGGTGGCTCTAGTAGTCAAAGCCATAGGAGAAGAAGGAGGTCAAGTGGATAACATTAATAGCTGGGAAGCTTTCATAAATGAATTTCATATATGAAATTATTTGAAACTTGGAAACACTCTTATGCAATTTCCCTACAGATGGAGAGGAATTTAAAGGATGCAGCAGTGGGTTCAAAACAGGTCACGTGGATATATGAGATATTTTCACAGATTTGAAATAAGTGCTAGCTGTTGCAGTGAGCAGAGGAATTAATTTAGCCTTTAATTTTATCTTTTTGGATATCAGAGATTTTAATCAACTATAAGAATATGCAAGCACTGAAACCACTAAGCTTGTCAAACATTAATAACCTGCAGATTCTGTTAATGTTCAGGGTACCTTTGTTAAAGAAGATTGAAGAAAAATATCCTGGAAGATTCTTAGAGGCTTAAATACCATATTGTATCATGAATATATCATTTTCTATTATTTTCAGGAGTAGAGTCATCCTGCCTTAGCTATATTGCCTTTATATTCTTAATTTAAAAATAGGGAATTCGCAGGAACAAAATAGTTGGACACTTCTAGACTGATGTTTTGTTGCTTTAAATGCTGCCAAATCAGATATAGTTTTCCACCCACAAAACTTGTCCAATAAATAATGATATTCTAAGTAAGTCAGAATTAAATTTAGGCTGACACCTTCTATCTGCACTTTATTTTAGTTTCATATCTTAAATCACTGCTTATTTTTAGTCTGTGTTACTTGCATCACTTTTAATAATAGCTACAGAAAAAAATATGTCATCTACCAGGCAATGGGTAAATTTTCCCTTAGAAGGATCTTATTTAGAAAAATTACAATGTACCTATTATTTGATAATTCTTCAAGTAACTTGGTTGCCATATTAATTGCTTCTATTAAAAATAATCAATATAGCTTTTTAGATAAGCTATGCAGATCTGTCTGCATATTTTGTCTTTTTGACATCTTGTAATATATATCATTTTTGTATTCCTATGTTACATAGTGGGCAGTGTGACCATTTTTCATATCCAGTGAAATTCTATTCTGAGATCAGTTAGTTCATTGTTATGGTCAATGACCAGAATTCCATTTAAAAAGCTAAAAATTATTTTTTTAAAAAATGAAAGTAGATAAACTAACAATAGCTAAATTATTAGTAAGATTCATTACAGCAGGATTTACAAACAGTAAAATGTGATTATATCCAAAGAATCATATTGATAGGCTAGTAGCAATTGTACAAAATATAATTCTGAATATTTGTTTGAAATACAGGTATCAGCATTGAACCAGGGTGGAACTTATATGTTGACTGTTAATTTTATATTTGTTCTTTTTTCTTTTCATTTTTTTTGGTCTTGTGTGTAATTCTAGTTTTGTTGTTTTTATTCTGTAGTTTGTATCATACATACATACATACATACATACATACATACATACATACATACATATAGGAATCACCTTTTTAGCTTTAGAATCTTAAGTAACACACACACACACACACACACACACACACACACACACACACACACACACACATATATATATATATATATTGGTAATTAAACTGAATATATGATCCCTGGGTGCATCCATGCCAAACAAATAAAATAAAACGAACACCAGGGTAAAATAATCAAACTCTAGGAGTTTAATGTTACAGTACCAAACGCCAAGCTTTCGTCAGCATTCTGCTGACATCATCAGGGCTTAAACGGTCAGTCTATGGGAGAGTTT